AGGGAGAAGCAGGCTTCCCGCAGAGCAGGGAGCCTGATGTGGGGCTCGATCCCAGGATCCTGGGATCATGACCTGAGCCGAAGGCAGACGCTTAATGACTGAGCCACCCAGGCGCCCCTGGGTTTGAATTTTAATTGTTCCACAGACAAGCTTTTGCCTCTGACAGGCAGCTATTCACGTCCTCTCTGTGGGCCTCAGTTTCCTCAACTGTCAAGCAAGAGACTGACCTAATTAATTTTTTTTTTTTAATATTTCACTGAATTCTACTTATTTACAAGAGTAAGTTAACTTGGTATTTAAAACAAACCTTCAGGGACCTGGGTGGCTCAGTTGTTTACACATCTGCCTTCGGCTCAGGTCATGATCCCGTGGTCCTGGGATCGAGTCCCGCATAGGGCTCCTTGCTCAGCGGGGAGCCTGCTTCTCTCTCTGCATGTCGCTCCCCCTGCTTGTCCTCTCCCGTTCTCTCGGAGACAAATAAATAAAATTTTTTAAAAATCTTTTTTTAATTTTATTTTTTTATTATTATGTTATGTTAATCACCATACATTACATCATTAGTTTGGATGTAGTGTTCCAAAATCTTAAAAAATAATAATAAAAAAAAAAAAGAATAAAACAAATCTTCAGGGGCACCTGGGTGGCTCAGTCGGTTGAACATCAGACTCTTGATCTCAGCTCAGGTCTTGATCTCACATCATGAGTTCAAGCCCCATGTTGATTTCCACTGGGCATGTGGATCCTACTTTAAAAAATTAACAAACGAAAAATAAAACAAACCCTATTCTCCAGCTGATTTGCTTTTTCTCTACATTTAGCTGTGGAGATTCTCTTCTGCCAGTGTTCAGGTGATTTCCTGGGTTATTTACACTGATGTGGGTGTTATCTAGGTGTGATGAGGTGAGCCTAGGATCCTCCTACTCCACCATCTTCTCCAGAGTCTGACCTAATTAATTTCTAAGGCCCCACACAACTGTAAGAGTCAATGGTTTGGGGGCACCTGGCTGGCTCAGTCAGTAGAGAGAGCGACTCTTGATCTCAGGGTCATGGGTTCGAGCCCCATATTAGGTATAGAGGCTACTTAAAAAAAAAAAAAAGTCAATGGCTTTATAAATAATCTTCTCTGACCTTGAATGTTGGACCAGGTTGAAGGGTACCTGGGGAGAGGAATCAGTCTTAGAGAAAGTCAGAGTTGAAACAAAAAATAGAGCATTTAGCAGTAACTGAAGCATGGCCCAAGATGGAATATTTCTCTTAAGAAGGAGATAGAAAAATCGATTGGTTAGGTTGGATGCTTGGTGACTGACTCATGAGGTATGAGGATGAGGGGACTCTATTTCTCAAACTGACCTTCATCCTAGAAGGGTTTGTTGGTATCATCAGACACAGCCCGGGACTCTCAGGGGGTCCACAGAACAATTCTGTCGAGTGGTGTGCCCTCTAGGGAAATCAGAGATAGGGATTCTACCATTTTAGTTTTCAAAGATAAAGCAAAGCTTTTTAACTCAGAAGCTAATTTTCCTCATTCCATTTCTTCTCTCCCCCCCTCCCCTCTCCGCTCTTCCTTTGGGGTCTTCTTCCAACAGAGGAGTGTATCCTTCAAGCAAGTGAAATTGGGCCTGCGGGCAAACAGACCAAGATAGCCCTGTTCATCACCTCCTCCGTTATGCTGGTGCTTCTGCTCGGGGCAGCTGTGATTGTCTGGAGGAAATCGCGGGGCCGAGTCCAGCCAGTAGCGAAGGCTGGCTATGAGAAGCTGGCTAACCCTAGCAAGTCATACGTTTCCTATAAGAGCAGCCCCAGCTTTGAAGAGGATCAGGTGATTGAGTACAGGGACCGGGACTATGATGAGGATGATGATGATGACATTGTCTACATGGGCCAAGATGGCACTGTTTACCGGAAATTTAAGTATGGGCTGCTGGATGATGAGGAGGAGGATGAGCTGGAATACGATGACGAGAGCTACTCCTACCAGTAGACAAGAGGCCACCCGCCCCTCACCCTTCTCCATTCCACTCACAGGCATGCATTCGAGCGTTACAGTTTTGGAGTTTTATCCCCACACATCAGGCTGATGTGTGGGTGTTTGTCTTTGTCCTCTTAACCGTGAGTCCAACTAGAGTATGTAAGAATGCTGAAATAATTTGTTCTTCTTTTGAGTGGCTAAACTCAATTAACCATAACTGAGGAACAAGGATAAAATTCAGAGAGATTTCCCTCAAAATAATAAGTCAAAATACAGGAAGTGAAAAAAGTGAGATTTGTACATTTCATGAGATTAAAAAGTATTGGACCTATAGGAATTCTGTTTCTCAGCTGTCTTGTGGAGATATTTGCTGCCTTCTGGGATTCTAATATTTCTGTAAATGATTTGGGGGTATGGGGAGACAAAAGAGTTGTTTGTCTCAGGGGATTTTTCTCCCCTGTCAGCCATCTTTAGGCAAAGGTTGGTTCTGCTAGGGCCAGCTAAAGAGGGTTCTCCTCCTCATGCCCTTTATCACTCGCCTCCAGACTGCCCCTGGGGAGCAGAAGACACTACCTGTGCTAAGGGTGTTCCCACCCTACTTGGAGATGAGGAAAGAAAAGGGAGCCAGCATTAGAACCAAGGAACCATGTGCTCCCAGGGCTCTGGTTCTTCTGCAAGAATCCACAGCCATCCTGTTCTAGGGACAAAGCAAGCTCAGGCAGGACATAGATAGCAGCAAGCCAGTAGGACAGAAATCACTACATTTCCAAGAATTGCAGCATTACACCCTCATGATTTTCTAACAGCTTTTGTGGTGGGAAACACCAGCTAAGACACTGAGTAATAAAAGAAAAATGGTAGTGTTAACCTAACATAAAATGGGATAAAATGACAAGAACTGCATCTACTCTGAGAGGGAAAAAAAAAAACACAAAACGTTTTTAGCCACCAAATCAAAAAGATTTCATTGACAGCCTGTCATGGAGATGAGAACTCCCTGTAGAAAAAGTTGGAGCAGATTCTAACGTGGAAAATCCCAACGTCCTGCTCACGAGCGTAATCCAGTTGCCCACCAGCCTTCCAGCACTCTCTACCACTGTGATCCATTTCTAGACATCCTAGGCTCTCCTTGGTCCACTCTCCTGTCAAGTACAAGCTCGGATTTGGGCACAGGGCCATTTTCTACCAATAGTAATACAGAGAGAGGGGCTTTTACTGTGTGAAATTATGTAAGCAGGGTTTTGCAGATTTTCTTGTCCAAGCAGAAGCTAGAGCCAGCACTGGGAGGGGATCACGAAAAAATGACATTTTCAGATGACAATGTTAAAATGTCCTTAACTGGGTTTGAGATATCCTAAAAAATTTATCACACACCTCCTATGTAATTGGTATCGAGCTAACTAATTAGTTTAAAAAGTCACCTCACTTAATATCATGACTTCACGAGGTTAGCACCGTTATACCCTGTTTTTATAGGAAACCTAAGACCCTTGAGAGGTTAAGTAAAAGAATGACCCTGAAGTGCAAATTCTTAATAGCTATGCGATACTGGCATAAAATAAGCAACCTAAATATAGTATAAAAGAGTGTATATTATTTTATTTCATGATATGACAACTCTATTACCTTTACTAAGTTCATGCATTTTGCTTTTCTTTTAACATAACGTATCACTGACACGAAATCTCTGTGAAGAAGCCTTCCGAGTACTGAAGGCCTCCATGTTTCTTAGGGGAATGCTCTTAAAACAAAGGTTGGCAAACTTTTCTCTGGAAAGGGCCAGACAGTAAATACTTGAGGCTTTGCACAACGATCAGCTCTGCCATATGGCCCTAATGCAGCCAATCCAGAACAAATAAGTGGGCTACGTTCCAATTAAACTTTATTTATGGGCACCGAAATTTGGATTTAAGGTAATTTTCACATATCATGAAATATTGTTCTTTTTTTTATTTTTTTTCTTCCAGCACTTAAAAATGTAAAACCATTCTTAGCTCGGGGCAGTACAAAATCAGGTAATGGGCCAAATTGGCCAACAGCTGTAGTCTGCCGACCTCGTCTTAAAAAAAAATCCTTAAGAGCCCATGTTGTATTTATACACACTTGATATGCTTCCAACAGTTTTGATCATTTAAAATCATCTCTTCCAAATCTATCTGAAGTTCTGATAGTGCCCTTTTCGATTCTTAGAAATTAAAAATGGATGTAGGATAGCCATCATATCAATGAGAGACTTTCTTATCCCTTGCCGTGTAATTACAGACTGTAGCTTATGCAAGAGTAATTTTGTTCATTCTGTGTTGTTCTTCTTCCCTGATAATTCTGAAGCCCTGACAGACTGAGTTGGACATTTCTTTGTGTAGCCTGGAAATGGTTTTCCAAGAAAAATCTGTGTTTATGATACACAGTTAAAGATTAAATGAGGTTGAGATGACCTTGAATACCAAGAAAAATTGTGTTATTACCTTGTGTGAGCCCGAAAAAAAAAGGCTTGTGCTGTGTGTTGGAACAGTTTGACATTTCCTTCTTTGTTCTTGGTCATGCCACGTTATCCTCAGACTTCTTTTGAATACTATGCTACCTACTGTCTAAACAGATAAATGTGTGCTTGGAAAACAATGTCCCTTTTTGGTTTTCTGTTTGCAAATAACTTGGAAATATTAAGAGGATCCTTATAGACTGGAAATGCACCAAGACGCTGAGCAAGGGCTTGGAAAGTTCCAGTTCATAGAATGCAATTTTAAAATTGGACACAAAATTAAATCAAGATCAGAGAAGGCAATGGGGACTGGCTTATTAACAGCCTATTTCTGAGCACATTGCATGTGTGGTATTATGCTTCACCAAGTAAGAGACACAAAACTATGCTGTTTGTTAAGAGCGCTGTTTTTTCTTTTTATCTTTCTACCTCCAATGACTGGAGCTAGTCATAGTAGTTATGAAACTTCTTCCTAAAAATCAATCCAATCCGTCGATGTCAGCCCCATCACCACTGACTCGTTAGGTCCCCAGTCTCTCTCATCTGGACGTTTCCTGCTTCCTCCTGAATTTTGCTGAACTTCAGTCTTTTTTTCTCCCAATTTACCCTCTATCCCTGTATCAAAGATCCACCAGGTCTTTGGCCCACCAGCCCACTGCGTTCAGGGCTCCCCACCACCCACGCTGACTTTGACATTCAAAACGTTGCAGGACAGAGCCACTGCCTCTATCGTCCACCATTTCCTACCCCTCCTTATTTCCCAGATCTCCCGTTTGTCCTGAATTGCTTCTAAGTTCCCCAGGATAACATCCTGTTATCTCCTGTCCTTGCGCACACATTGTTCACTCTCCTTAGAATATTTTTCCTCACCTTGACCAATAGGAAACTTTCCGACCATCCTTTAAAATCATGTTCCCTTCTTACAACCTCTCCTGGGAGGTCTCCCCTGACCACCTTGAAGATGAATCACAATCTCACCTCTCTGCCACCTAGGTGCTCTGTGCATACAGTTCACATCATATATCTGTATCTACTAAAAGTGGGGGCAGCTACTTGATTCCTTGAGGTGGCTACTATTTCCTTTCCATAAGCTGGCACGGTGCCCAGAACTTGGTAAGCAATCAAGAGCTCTTGGTGAAATGGAATTTTAGGAAGACAGGACTCACATATATGAAACAACTAGACAACGATAATGGTCCTGAGTGCAGTGTTAAGTGGGAAGGGGGAGGAGGGGTGGTGTCAGTTAAGCAGGAGGAGTACAAGATAACTGCAAATTAGAGCCTGTAGGGGGTGGTTTCACGGGGGAGATTTGTGCTTTGACTTGATTTGAAAAAGAGGATATAGAAGGTATTCCTCAAAATACCCACTGGAGTTAATAAGTAGTTGGTCTGACTTTCATGATGATAGTAGTGATAATATTAACTTATCAAGTCTGTATTAAGAATTGCCCGTGGGGCCCCTGGGTGGCTCAGTCGATTAAGCTCTGCCTTCGCCTCAGGTCATGATCCCAGGGTCCTGGGATCGAGTCCCGCATCGGGCTCCCTGCTCAGCAGGGAGCCTGCTTCTCCCTCTCCCTCTGCCTGCCGCTCCCCCTGCTTGTGCGTGCTCTCTCTCTCTCTGTCAAATAAATAAATAAAATCTTAAAAAAAAGAAAAACAGAATTGACCATCTGCCCGACATTGTTCTAGATACTGGGAAACACCAGCAAGTGGAACCAATCAGATCTTGGGTCTTAAGGAACTTGCAGTCTAGTTGGGGAGAAAAAAAATAAATCATAACCATACAACTATCATACAACTATCATTTTTGATGCCTTCCATGTGCCAGGCATGGTCCCATAGGCACTTTTTTCATTTGATCTTATTTAGTCTTTACAACACAAATGCTATAGAGCAGTTATGAAGCTTCTTCCTAAAATCAATCCAATCTGTTAGCCCCTACCTATGTCTACCTTCCATTGTTCTCAACACAGGCCAAAAAAAAAAAAAAAAGGAAGGGGGGTGAAAAGCCAAAAAACAGTCATAAAGATGAAGAAAGATAAGAGGGATGGCGTCTGTCTTGTTTAGTTCTATTGTCTTAGTGACTAACACATCCAATGGTACAAAAGCAAATATTCATTGAGTAATTCCTGGTATAAAAACAATTGCGCATGTTTGTGCTTCTGAGCTCAGAGTACACACCAGAACTAGGTCCTGTGGCCACACTCAGCTGTAAGGAAGGCTTGAAAGCAAAAATCTGATCAAGAGTAATGAGATTGATTACCTTATTGGGTTTATAAAACTCATGACTCATCTGGGACTTTGCCACCCACAGTAAAAGTTTTCTGTTATCAAGGAAGAGGAGAATAGTGCAGTGGAGCTGTTACATAACCTAATAAGAATGTCTCCCACTCTAACAAAGGAGTTCATTGATAAGAGCTGATCCCTGCTGCCAAGGGAAACGATAGAAGGCTAATGAAACCATTCCATGGAGCAAACATGTGTTTGTAAAGCAGAGAATTATAAATCAAGTGCAGAACAAGATGGAGGTCAGGAGGATTCCCATCTCTCTACGTTACGGTTATCAGTGAAGTCTGCTCCCTAGCTAGGAGTGGGATTCCGTGCCTGATAGAAATTCTGCTGTATCCTTGAGGCGGCTGTTAGTTAAAAATTACAGAAAGGTCAACCCAAACTGGCTTCAAGACCAAAGGAATTTAGTGGGGCTCATTTAATCAAAAAGCCTAGGGTGGGATCGGGTACTGCTGGAAATGGAGCTCAAAGCATGGCCCCAGGTACTGGTTGATCCCCATTGTCCCTCTCTGACTTTTGCTGTGTTGGCCACTTCTAACTGGAGACCTGCCCTCA